TGCTCTGCCATTTCATTCCTTTCTACGAGGTTTGAGTATGTGTCAGTTTACCAGTGGAAGCTATCTTCCATCTATCTAGGATGGCAACATGGCCTTAGTGCTGTGGTAGTGTCACTCTCACACTGTTTTGGGAAGCAAGGGCTGTGCTGCTGCCATTCTACAGCTGAGAAAGCAGGTAAAGCAAGGACGTGTCATAAGCAGGATCCCAGAGTGATTCTCAGGGGAGTGGGGAAAACCAGTGAGTGGGTAGGCGGGCCACTGCTGAGGTTCAGATCCCGCTTTCAATGCAGATACCCTAGGTGACAGTAAGGCCTGGATTTTTAAAGGGGCTTTGGTGACTAGTACATTTTTGTGTTTTGAGGGCTCCTCTTTTCTAATGTTGGCCTTGTACAGCCAGTCTCAGCAAGGCCTTTGCTGGCTGGCTTGGCTGCGTGTCTGGGATAGGTCCATCTGCAGTCTGGATGTGCTTTGCTGTCTTCAAGAACTAGACAGAATTCAAAGCAAATAGCTTGGCACAGACACTGAGTTTCCAAGTGAGCAAGGTTAGACTGCTGCAGTGATCTCAGTGGTGTTAGGAAGCTTTGTACTTCACCTTAGGTGCTTAACTAATTGCTCATACAATGCAGTATCTTCAGAAATGTGACCTTTAGGCTCATTATGTCTCAGTTGTCCATAAAATGAAAATGCTAGTTAATACTGAAAAGTGTTACGGTGATACATGTGTGATACTCCATAGAAAGGCAGTTCTTTTACTGTCTCCAAAGGACCATGCTGTGAGTCATCCAGCGCCTCTGAAGACTCTGGTTAAGAAACAGGAGCTTTTAAATGTACCTCATTAGGGCTGACTCTCCAGCACTGTCTGTAGTCACACACCAAACATACTCATCACAAAAAGGGAAAATGTTGAGAAATTAAGGGAACTAATTAGTGGAATCAACTGCACGGAAGAGCTGAGGAGTTGAACGTGATGGAAACTGGATTCCAAAACTAGCTGGAACATGCAGGAGGATGAACCCTGAAGGGAAACACTCCAAAACCAGTGGGATAAATAACCAACCCCAAACATATGGGGGGAGTTAACTGAGAGCGGGCAAGAAGTGGGCAGAAGCTCTGATCAGCAGGAGGGTGTTCAGTTCACATGCAGCCAGGGACTGAAATCAAATGTCTGGAAAGGAACCGCTGCAGGAAACAACTACCTGCTTCGCTCTTTGCTGGAGCCTGTCACCCCTGCCACAGGGCTGACTAAGCAGCTTACGCGGCCGTTGTGCCAGTGACGTGTTCGGTCCAGCAGTTCTGGACCTGCTTTATGAGCTATTCTGTCATCTGTGCCACAAGGGCGGTGTCACAGAGAGCGGTGGGGCAGAAGGCTGGAGGCAGTATTTGCCTCAGTCATCCGATTTGAATTTGCTGAGGTCAGGAGATGTAGAGGTAGAATAAGAAATGTCAAAAGTAAAGTTGTGAATCAGACTTTGAAAAGGAAATTAAACAGATGGCAGAAGATTTCAGCTAGATAAATACAAAAGCGAGAAAGAGAAGAAATGTGGTCATTATGTAGTGAGAATGAGGTTGAGATTAGACCAGTCTACATATGGTCTAAAAATGAGTTAAAAACACTTTACCTACATTTCCAGTAGAGATGACCATATTGAACAGTGGGGCAAAGACAGGATTTCTAGTAGGAACATACATAAGGGAATGAAAATTATCACATGTAAGACGGAAGGAAAAGCGTAAAGAATTCAGTGTGCTCAGGTCAAGGTGCACTGGCAGATTTCCATCGCAGGATTTGGAAAGAACTGGCACATTAAAGGAGCTCAGCTTAACCTCATATTTCTCTTTGATGACTGATTTTTTTTTTTTTTTTTTTTTTTTTTTTTTTTTTTCCCCTAGACAAATGAAATACAGGTGATTTACTCTATACAGACTTGAGTCAAGAATCTGATATTATACCACATGGGAAATTACTAGTTGAAGCTGAGAAGATGGGGATTAGTGTGGATGGCAAATGCAGAACTGCTAAAGCAATGACAAGGAGCTCTGTGGAAAGGAGAAGTGCAGGACAGAGGCAGTTAATAAGTGGAACTCCTCAAGGGTCAGTCTTACTTGTTTCATTAATGACTCTGGCACAGCAGTAGGAATGTAGTAAAGAAATTTGCTGAGGACACAGGCTTTGTTAATACAGCGGAGGATCAGAGAACATCAATCAGCAATGACTGAATGACAGAATTTGTCTGAGATAGAATAGACAAAGTATCAAGACATGCAGTTAGAAATTAATAACTAGAATATCACATTACTCACTTGAGTGACAAAATCAGGGTGGTGGAAAAAAAAAATATTGAGAATTACTTGCTCCGAGGGATAACTGTGAGCCACCGATCTGATATGGAAAGGCAAACACAGTCCTAGAAGATACAGGTTCACTCATGTTCAAGTAAGATTAGCAGGTACAGAGAAGGGCATTGAGGATGATCAGAGGGTTTAGAACAAGAGGAGACTAGAAGAGCTTCATTTGTTTAGTTTCTCAAAACAAAGACTAGAAGAGATAGGATTGTTTTCACTAAATACATCTGATAGGTAAAGATCAGAGAAAAAAGAGAATTGTTTAAACTAAATTATGATGCTGGCACAAGAACAAATGATATTAAGACTGGAAGTTTAAAATGAAGTGGTGGAATAGCCTGCCAAAAAGCGTGATATGATGTAATTGACTGTAATAGTGGGAGACTGGATCAGTAATCCAGAGCCTTGTGTTCCTAGATGACTTTATGGGTAGGGAGTCAGCCACGGTGATGGTTACATGCGGGGACTCGAAAGGAACAGCCTAGACTAACACCACAAACGTGCTGCCAGTGATGAAGTGTTGCAGTAAATGACTGAGACTCACGTTGCCCTTACCAAGTACTGATCTCTTTCTTACTAAGAAAGCTACGGCAAAGCGTGTGCCGTGAAGCACTACTTGTATTATAGAAACAGTGCCACTAATACATTTTACTGTGGGTTTGGGCTCTTGCTTTTTACCCCAAAATATCACCGTCTTTCTCCTCCCAAGCCTGAGTCTATATGGTTGAAACTATTGCTTCAGGAACTGCTGTCCTGACACTGGCATCCTTGCCTCCATGCAGCAGCCCTGGCTCTCACCTGGGAGCTGGAAGCAGGCAAGGCTCCCAGCCCCTTCCTCTCCTGATGTCCCCACAGTCAAAATGCCAAACCAAAGGGATAATGCTGTACAGCTTCAAAGAGAAACGTGCAGTGGACAGAATTTTGGCAAATTGAGCACTGGCCTCTAACAAGCAGTTCTTTAATGAAATTTGTAGACAGATACCTGACACCGTAATGCTCCTGCGGTGGCAGGAGTTCCCCTGACCTTGGGGCACTGAACTGGGCGATCCCAGCAGCCCCTCGGGAGGGCTGGGAGTGACAGCCACTGTCCCCGGCCAGGGGCTCACAGCACTGCTCTGCCCTGGCACAGGCTGGGAGCCCCGGGCTAGGAGCCCTGCGCTGCTTGTGCGAGCACAAGAAAATGTAGCTGGCCAGTCCTCAGGTTTGGAAATGGGGGTGGAAAAAAAGGAGGCTGATACTGAAGCTTTTATTTCAAGAGCTAAAGTGAGGTCCTTCCCTCCTCCTCCCCTTATGGGAACTGGCAAACTCAGCTCTTTAATGGTACAAGCTCATCTCAGCCTTGCCTATAAATAGATAAATGAGATTCCTCCTGTCCCAGTGAGTAATTCTGACATCCTCCTGTTGCCTTGCAGAGAGCTGAGTCACAGGCACTCTGCACTCCAGTCCCTGCATTACTTACATGGTCTCAAAGGAAATTTTAACACATCCAATGATTCATCAGGGATTGGATCATGTTTAAAGTTATTCCATTGGCATTTCCCTTCTATTGTAGCAAGTCTGCCAACACCTAAAACTTTAGCTAATCTGGACTCAAAATGCATTGAGGAAAAAGCATGTTGACATATACAGCTATAATAAAAAATCATAAAAAAGATCCTTTTAAATCTGCATTGATACACAAGTGACCCTTAGTGGATTCCTTTAGCGTTTTGGACCTGCTAATTTTGTCAGCCTGCTTCCTTGTTTTGTAGCTGATTATTTAAAGGAACTCAGAGTTTGAAATGTTTTAATATTCAGTCATTAGGCCCCTAATTTAATCTCCTGCAGGTTTCCTGCCAAAATACTATTTGCACTGAGATGAAGCTTGCAGCCCCATGCTCATTTTCTCAGAGACACACATTCCTGCTGTTACCCATGATAAAAATAAAATGCCTGCAAAGCAGAGACAAAACCAGAGCAGTGTAAAGTACAGAACACAGGGCAGTAATATGCTGCTGTACAAGGCATTGAGCTCCAGCCTGAAGCAGTATCTCCTGATGGGGCATCTTCACTTGTTACCTTGCCTTCTCCCAGATGGTATGGTGTGGTCTGATCAGCTTAGAAGCAACACAGCATTTGAAATCAGTCTCTCTTTCCCCCCCCTGCCCCCCACCTCAGAAAACATCTGGAAGAGTGGAAAATTCTCCAGCAGAATTTGGGAGCTGTGAAACAAATATAAAAATATTTCTCTCTGTTGGTTTTCTGGCTTGCCTTTCGTATCTTAGCACTGGTTGGGATAATTCTCTCATTATTACCAGACTCTCAGATTCAATGAGTGAGAAATGCTAACATTTGCTGGTTTGCTGCTGTGGTTTAGTATTCTTAGACCTAAAACCTGGCTTGTTCTTTTGATAACCCGAGAAAATCTGTGTCTTATTTAAATAACATTTTTCTAGTACGTTTTCATCAAGCAGTTCTCCGCCTGTGCATAGATTGTTAACAAGCGCTTGTTCAACACATTCCAGCATGAGCTGCAGTCACTACATAAGATCCTGAGTCTTCTGCTCCGAGGCTCATGGGGTTATTTATCAGCCCAGTACAGCCTTGGTCGCCAGTTCTCTGCCAGCTGTTAACTATACAATAGTATTGGGAAAAAAATCAGTTGTGGTTCTGCCAGCAGTATTGGATAGAATTCAGCTACCTGTTGACAAATGATGATTTGTTTAACAGCATAAACTATAATATTTTTATAGCTGGCAGTTTTCACCCTCATCTGCAGCTGGAAAAACCTGAGGAATTCCCAGAAGTTCCTCACTTGTGCCCTTTGCAAGTTTTCTTATAGTAATGCCTTACACTGTTGTCTCTGCGCAGGAAAAGACATCCTTAATGGGCAAATCAGTGGTGTCAGCATGATGCTGGAACAGGGTGGCTGCGTTAATTGGTGGCACTCAGCTTCTTGGTTGGCCTCTTTCCTGCAGCAGAAAACCCCACTGGACAGTCAGGCTGTAGAGATGCTCAAGGACAAGTCAGAGGCCTGAAAACAAGCCAGCATTTCTGTAAAGCATTAATCACCCTGTGCAGGGGCAGGGGAGTGGAAATGGGGAGAGGGTGCGCTCTCAGTATGCACGTTTTCTATCTGAGTTGTTTCAGCTGGATCTTTCCCAGTAATGCAGCCTTCTTTAACACCTTGTACTCATTTATTTCGAGGCTGTTTAGCAGCACAAATCAATTAAATACTGCAGAAACCCCCTGAGACAGACAGAGGTTCCTATCTCTGGTTCAGCCAGGGTGGGAGGCACACAGAGGTCAAGCCCGTACTTTTTGCCACACAGTGAGTGAGGGTGGAGCATGAAGCAACCCCCAGCTCACCTCCAGCGTGGGTTTCAGCCTTCCCCAGCACCTCACAGCTGCTGCTGGGGCTTTTGAGGGCCCTGTGGAGCTTCTTCTCTGGCATCAATCAGGTGGCCAGAGAGTGCCAGCCTTGCTTCAGTGCTTTGGTGTCCTGCTATACCCTGCTGAGCCTGGCCGGCAGGACCTCACTAATGGGGGTCATTCCTCCAGTGCCTGGCTGAGCCAGCCCTGAGGTGCCCAGCTCTGTGCTGTAACAGGGACAGGGTAAAGTCAGGGCCTCAGAGCTGACCTACATGAATCCTGCAGGATTCTCCATCAGGAGGTTGCCCGCTCCTGCTGAGGAAAGTCACTACTCAGTGGTACAGCTACCCACTGGCCAGTGGGACTGGTAGGGGTTTAGGAAGTAGCATAGTCACAAAATGTGAACAGAACAGTCAGAAAAACTGAGAGGCTTTGAAATGATTGTTTGGCTGGTGTTCTAACTGCAGCACCAGGCTTAGTATGCAAGTGTGAGAGCTTACTGTAATGTCTTCAGGCTGCCTGCCCCATGGGTCAGCTGGCTGTGGGGATGCACCACTGCACTCTGGTTCAGGTTGGGTTAGAGCTACTTGTATACATCACACACTTCAGAAATAGGAGCCAATAATTCAAGCCACATGACAGTTGATCCACAACAGAAAGGAAAATATAGCCTAACCAACCAATTCCTGCTCGTGCCTGTAAAATGTGCTTTGCCAAACTGTACTTCATGAGTGTCTCTCAGGAGGGCCAGATTCTGTAGGACATGTCCTCAGCTCACAGAAAGAGACCATTAATCATTTGTGCTCCTTGGTCCCTGGCTATTTTAATCACTGTTGAACTACACATGCAGTTTCCACTCCTAAAAATGGTATTTTACTCCAATGCACATGATTTCCTTTGGCTTCCTTTCCCCAATTAAGAGCAGGCTGCAGCTACTTGGAAGTCCACACACGAATTCATAAAGTTGCTTCTCATCTGTCATGGAGCAAAAAACCTGGTACTACACACAGCAGAAGATCTGTCCCGTCAGACATAAATATCAAATATATTGTAACTGGTAGTATGGTATGAATGTGTAATGACTGTTGTGCTGACAGGCTGGTGGCCAAAACCTGTCCTGTGTAATGGAGCGGTGGAAATGTCACTGGACCCTACCGTATCATTAGTCCTTTTCAGTTCCACTTTATTATGTAATGATTAAAAATGCCTTTTGTATATGCTGGCATTAATTAGAGGATGTCAGGCTGTTGTGAGAGAATTGAATGAATCATCAGAAGTGGATGAACTAGGAGTATATTTGTAAACTGTAGGCTGTAGAAACCAGTACATCTTTCTTTAATTTTTCCTTTAAAAATGCTGATCAGAAGTCACAGGAAGTTTAAGGAGAAAACAAATTGCTCATCCACAGCTTCAAGAGTGAAGTGAATTCTTGTACTTCTCAGCTTCTCTCATGAGGCAGATGAGCAGCCTTAGGAGTCCAGGGGAGCAGGGGTGGGTACAGAAGAAACTTCATTGCCTTAATTGCAGACTAATAAATGCATCATGCCCATCTCCATGGACTCACCAGTACCCTAATTTACAAACCAGATTGCTACAACTCTGAATTTCTCTGTTTGCATTCTTTGTCTATGAACATGCTGCTGTTGAGCTTAAAGAACCGGTCTGAGTTAACATACAAAGACAAGTTTACAGGAATACAAACTTTAAAAAAATAGGGAAAGTTTTGCAGGTACACTAGTCACCAAGGATCCCTTCAGTGTTTGTTACACTGTGTCAGGTCATGGGCACCATGACAAACAGTCAAGAGGACTACTGACAATTATAATGTGGGATTTAATGCATATCTGACAGCATTATTTACCTGGAATACCATTATCTTTTTTCTTTCTCCTTAATTGTCAGAAAAGAGCATGTACTTTTTTCCCTTCTTTTTTTTTAAAGTTGCATATAAAGCAGCATCAGCCCCAGTAGCAAGATGACTTTCTGTCTGCCAGGCTTTCAGGTTAGGAAGACAAATCCTGCTCCAGTGATGTAACGAAGTTTTCAAACGTCATGTTGCAGAAAAAGGCACATGCACACAAGTCACGCTAACCTAAATCAGCTGATGAGTTTGGGTGCTTAATTTGAGGCTCAGGGACATCTGTTCACTTTGCTGGGGGGTTGTTTTGTTTTTTCTCTTTTAAAAGTACCAAATATCAACCTTTGAACCCCAGGCAACACAAACTGGGCACCAGAACAGGGTTCAGCTCTTGTGAGGGCAGGCCCAGCCATCCCATTGGAGAAGTTGCTGTTTCTTTCCCACCAACTCCTTCAAATGTTCTTAGTTAAACATGGACAATTTTGGTGCAATTAAAAAGACAAAGCCCAGAAACCAGCAACGACCTGATACAGCTAAAACTTCCTTGAGAGCTTGGATTTCTTCAGTGCTGCTGAAAATTAAATGTTTAAATTATGATGAAATTTTGCCTAGATAACCATATTTCCTCTGTAAATCAGCTAGTCATCAGAAACTACAGCAAAGTACCAAAGGGCTTCAGTAAAAGAAAGCCACAAATTTGCCTGCAAAATGTATTTCCTGCACTGTTTCTTTTCCATTTATGTGGCTGACATACAATTTCTGTTTGACTGTATGTACCACATTATTCTGGACAGGAGTTGTGCACTGAAAGCAGCTGATATTACAGGGCAGTTCAGAAAGTGTACCCTGCAGTGAGAAACTCGCAGCCTGGAAGGCTGGTGCTTGACGGACGTTAATAGAATTGCTTGTACTTTAAGAGAAATTTGATTTTTCTTTTCCCTGTTGGGCTCTCACCCTGCACTCTTTACTGCTTTAGGTCTGTTCTTTGTGGGTTGTTGTAACTCTACTGCCAATCTAGATGCTGTACACTTCCCAAGAACTTGCAAAGTAGCATGAATGGTGGCTCAGGTTTAGTTCATCTGCTGTTACCCATTTTTCAGGGAAAGAATTGTATGTGTGAAAGTACCAGGATGTTTTATTTCAGTAGGGTCTATTTATTGTTGATACTACTTCACACAAACTAAGGATGACAGCTTCAAGGAAGTCTGGGGCAGTGCTTAACTGCAGTAGAAGTTGATGGTATCACCTGAGTCTGAAAAAAACCCCATGATTGCCTGCATGTACTTTTCAAAACTCTTATTTAAGGTATTTCTGCGTATTTCCAAGGCAAATTGGAGGTGCTAAATGACACTGAACTTGGGGAAAAAAAAACCAAACCAAACCAAAACAAAAACAAACAACACACCTGCCAAGTTTGTTCTTGAAATCTTAGTGGCTTAGCCTGGGCACTGAGAAAGAGTGTCCCAGGTCTGCTGACAATATCTAAAGTGTCAACAAGGGACCTGCAGGGCTGGCTCCCACCTGCAGGATATGCACAAGGGAACCTGCCTATGAGCCTGGCCACGTATCAAGTGTCCCTACAGCCCTGTGCTGTGACTGCCCTCCACTCCGACAGGCAGGATGGCAACTGGAGGGGATGTGTGCGACCAGCATGACTGGGAGAGCTGTTCTGGGAACAGATAGGATAAAAATAGCACCAAACCACTGTGCTCTCCTGTTCGCCACATGCAGTCACATACACGAAGGGTTTCGTCTGCAGAGGCCATACAAGATGCCTAAGCGGGAACTTGCAGCTTGCCATAAGGTACAAGACACAAGGTTATAAAGCACTGGAACAGCTTGTGAGACATTTATATAGGCAGAGTTCCCATTGCACATAAGAAAAAGATCCATTCATCGGGGCTCTGGCTTCAGGATGAACTGCAGGAGTTGCTGTGTGCACATCCTCTGTTAGAGGTTCAGACTTGTCCTTCTGGCTTTAAAAATCCATGAGTGGGTTCTCATCATTGTGGCAGAGCTGAGATAGGAAGAAGCTGGGGAAGCATATTTCGGTATTTCAAGCAAAAATGTGTTTATTTTAATATTCTTATTTTGAGTAATACGGTCATACTAAAGATAAAATTTGTAACATAGAAACACATCCAAAAAAGTTACAAACCCTCATTCCTGGTCTTCCTGTTTTCAGCGCAAAGAATATTCCACTGTAGTAGGCTGTTGCTCTGTAGCCTGTTCACAGTTGAGGTGATGAGGTCCAGTTGGCTTGGCCGATACCAGAATCAGAATAGATTAATTCCATCCACACATCTTGCAAAGAAACTTTTAAACTCTTCCATCTTCTTTCAGTAACAGATGAAGACATGAGAGTTGCTAGATGAAGAAATCCTTGTGGAGAGGAAGAAAGGGTCAGGGGCTTCCTATGATGGGGCAGTTTCAGAAATCAAAGGTGTCAAAGCAGGAAGTCCTGAAACAAACGGTTCCAGAAGTGGCACATTCCTGGAATTGGCCCACAGGGAAGGACGCTCCTGGACAGTCCTGTGGGGCTTTGAGCAGCCCAAGTTTCTTTGTTCCCAGCTGGTTGAACAGTACCCATCCTTAACTGACAGTAAGGTGACTTTCTTGTGCCCATTGTCTCATCTAGTCACACAGTCATTGGGACAAGGGTTGTCATTTTGTACTTGATTTATTTCACAGCCAAGTTGCCAATTCTGCAATAGCTACAGCAGGATGACTTCATGTGAACACACTCATTCCCCAGCAGCTGGTACAGCTCCCGATTCATACCATACCTTAACTGGAGTAGCATCAGTATGTCAGTGTGCCTTACAAAGTTAAGCAAAACCTGGGACTCTGTTCAGGGTCTCTAGTCACTTCTTGTTTACAAATAATTCAGCTTTAAGAAAAGCAGTTGAAATGCTCCTGAGAATAACAAATAACAAATGAGTAAATCTTGCTCCAGAGCCATATAACCCAATTAAAAATAGGTAAGTGATGTGTAAAGGAAGTCTGTGTAGTCACTGTAAAAAAAAAAAAAAAAAAAAAAAAAGCATGCATTTCTAATCTATTGGCAAAGGCATATAAAGCAGAATTAATTGATAAACATATCAATTAATTGATAAACATTATAAAAGCCTTAAACAAAGCCTTTTCAAAAAGGTAATGAGTTATCCAAACAGACAGTGTGAAAGGGATTGTTGCTGCTGTGGGGCCAGATTAATCTGACTATCCATACCCCTAGGTAGAGTTATTAAAGGATAAAAGCTTTGAACATTGTTGCAGAGTTCAATGAAAATAAAAACTTTTACTCAACATATAGCAGCTCTTAGAAATGCAAATGAAGGGTTAGAACACATAAAGATGGCAAATAATTGAATATTATAGTTCTGTTTAACAAATTGCTTTTTTGCATGCAATTACTGCGTCCTGGTCTAATCTGAAAAATAAAAGTAGAAAAAAAGCTCAGAGAAAGGTGCTATGGATGAGCAGAGACCTGTGATGACTTAGAGCAGTTAGCTGAAAGAGGAGTAAAACCGGGAAATGGGGCAAGGGGTGGAATGGTTTGGATAAGGGCTGTTTGGGGCTGGGCTGTGTGTCTCTACAGTTGCATTTCACTCTGGTGGGGTGAAATGCAAGATGGACACAACATGGAGGGGAAGCGCTTGGTTTGTTTTATTTCTCCCACTTTCGTGTTCCAGTTCTCATGCCCTTAACTTCATACAAAGTACACGCCCCACACCACAATTCACAACAACACGTCTTTTCAGCTCCACTCCACCAGAAACGCTTTCCTCAGCCAGAAACACTGCTCCAACTTGCAAGCAAGCCTTCCCGAAGGCAGGCCTGCCCTTCCACCCTTGCCCTGCCCCAAGCGCTAGTGCTTCGCTTCCAGGCCTCCCTGTGCCGGAGATCACAGTTGACCATTGCAAGAACAATAAGGATTTTTAGGGGCATTATGACTGGGTTAGTAAAACACAGCTGCCCCTGAAAGTCCCTCATTTTTCTTGCTGCTGCTCAGTCTGTCCCTAAGGGGGCAGAGGTCTGACAGGATCCTTTCTATCCAGCATGGCTGTGCCACCTCATGTGGCACACACGGCTTTGCTGATGTGCCCGGTAGCCGCCCCAGCCCCTGTGCCCAGTCATGACACGGCCAGAAGAAGGTGTGGAACCGCTTTGTCATTCCTGCAGGCTCCCTCCTAAGCAAACGCCGCACTGCATTTCAGCATAATGCCAGATGGTTTGTCTGTCACTTGGCAGAAATGCCATCAAACAAAGCCTGGTGCAGTTAGCTGCAAGCAGCCCTGAAATACCCCAAACCACTGGGGCAAAAGGCAGTAACACCTTGTCCTGCAAATACACACAGTGTGGGCAATCAGATGAGCCCTGGTGCTTTGACCAGGAGAAGCAGAGACCCCAGGACTGACCAGCTCATTGCGCAGGCAGCGCTCAACGTCTTGCACTCATGCATCATAACCTGCGATCCCCAGGGCGCTTGGAGCTGCCCAGCTGCAGTACCCAGCTCCCAGCAGGAGCAGGTCATACCTATTTGCCCAACTGCAGAAGTAGTTGCTTTCAATTTATTAACAAAGCAGGGATTTTAGAATTAGGGAATTTCTACTGATTTCTCAACAACTTTTGGCTTAAGTAATATCTGAAAAAGATCTATAGGTTCCTTACTAAATTCCCAGCCAACTACTTGGTACCTTTTTGCAACCCTCATTCACAAGTCCTCCTGGAAATCCCAGCCCAGCGTGTCCTTAGAGCAAGGAGCAACACTTACTTTCCTTTTAATTCATCAGTAATTTGACTTTTGACGGACGTGGACTCAGCATAAACCATAGGCAGATTCCCACAATTCTGCTTTGTTGTTTCCCCATGAACTCTGTAGGGTGCTGGGATGGGCCCCATCCCCATGGTGGGCTTGCAAGCACCCCTGCAAGCTGTCACACTTGAGAGGGACTTTGTGACATGCTTGAGGGCTTCTAAGGCGTTTGTGGCAAAGCAGGGAACCCCTGAGGACTCTCAGGGCTTTTCTTCCTTTTTTCTTTTTTCCTTGTAGTAAAGACATCACGTCCCTCAGCAAAGGACCCTTCCATCCATTCCCGGTTACAGGCTAGGAAGAACATGAGTGGTTGAGCGTCCCTGAAAACCTGCAAGGTGAGATGTGAGTGGCAGCACAGCAATGTCCCGAAGTGCAGATCCCCCTCTCCCTGCCTGGGCCCAAGAACTTGCTGGCCTCAACTGGTGCGTTAACATTCAGCTCCAAAACAAAGAGGCTGAGTTGTCACGTTCAGCCGCACAGAGCAGCATCTTGTTTGGAGTTGCTGCAGTTCAAACATGCCATCTCCAGGGACACACATGGCAGGCTGGCGTGGCTGCTCTGTGTGCAAGGGAAATGCCAAAGCTTGGGGCAGTCACAAAGATCCCAGCCATGTGCAACACAAGACAAATATCCTCACCCGTCCTAACAGGGGATGATGCTCTGCAGCAGCAGGCAACCTGGCATCCAAAAAAACCCCCGAGACCCTCTCATTATTGTACAAAGCCACCCCTTATTTGCATTTAGAATTTCTTCTAGGATTGCAAGTCAAATGAAAGCAAACCCCCATGCACTGATTTGGTAATAAAACATGAGCCATGATTCTGATCCAAATATTATTTGCATCTTTGAAAAAAATTACAACAGCCGTATAATAATAAAAAAAACGCAGCAGCCCTCTGAATGCTAATGACGTTGGTGTCCTAAATGAAGCATAAAAGCCAGAGCCTACAAGAAGCAAAGCATGAGTCAGAGCGTCAGCAGTCCCACACTGAAAGCAGCAGTCACGGCTGCTTCATTCATTTAAGGAATCAATTCCTTTGTAATGAGCATCAAGTAGGTTTTAGGACTAAACTGAGATGTGCGGCGTTATTGTTTTTAAAAGATTTTTTTTCTTTTTTCTTGGATTGACAATAAACAACTCTTTTTAGTAGGAAGGAACCCCAGGCAAGAACCAGGTCCCTGCACCACTCACTGTTGTACCAACACAGAAGAAAATCTGATGAGCCCCTGCCCTAGGAGACCACAACCTCCCCAGCAGCCAGGACCCCACCACAAGCAGATAGAGCCCACCCAGGGTACAGAAAAGCAGGTAAAGGGAGTTGTTGCAGTTTTCAGCATGGGTAGAGTTTTTTCATTGGCATGGGGTCGCTGGCAGATTCCAGCAAGGATAGGTACATGCTGCTCCAGGGAGCACCCTCCACGAAGGCTTTCTGTGTTGGTTCTTGGACTGCAAAGCCAGCATGAGGCAGTGTGTACAGGGAGAGGGTAATACTGCCCAAACTGCTCTCAGCTCCCTGCGGCCCCAGTTCCACCACTAGATAAAGCACAATCGGACTTTAATCATCAGAGCACAGATCTCTAGGTTATGTGGACGTTATCAGGGTGATTTGGAACTGAAGTGTTTTTGGTGAATTGGATTTGAAACTCAGAAAAATGCAAGAACAGCACAAATCCAAACCAAAGGTAGAAAATCATTGCAGATTCAAGAATTCTTCCAGCTTTAGTCATTGAAGGGGATTGTTGCAAATGGACAAAGGGCTGCTTCCCTTAATTTTTTAAGTGTGAATTTTGTCTTGACAGTTTCCTTTCAGAAACAAAAATTGAAAACAAATTGTCCTATACACAAAACAAAAAGACAGATCCTCAGCTGGAATGGACTGGTATTACCAAATGAATAACACCCACTCACAGGAGAGACTCTGGCCCTTTTAACAACAGCTGCCGATCCTGCTCTGCCCAGACAAGACCTTCAGCCTCCGGTTTTAAATGGCAGCAGTGTTGGCTCTATGTAGCTTGAAAAAGACGAAGGGCTGCCTTCAGAGCAGCTGAAAATACACCAGAGCTCCAAGGATTCTGTGCACTGTACACTTCCCAAACCTGGAGCTGACTCCAGGTGTATGAGCCAGTGTGCACAACAGCAAGAAAATAACTGATACCAGTGCGGCCCTGAAATTAATGAGCTGCTTTGGAGAAATGCTTGCAGAGCAGGTTTCCAGAAACCACTTACATGTGGGGTTTATTTTTTGAAAAGAGGCATGTCTCAGATTTTTCTCTCAAAACCAAGATTAGGCAGATCACTGTCTTGAAAATGACATAAGAGGTCCCCAAGAAAATATTAACTGTATAATGCAGGAAACATAATGCATGACTGTGATCCCTCCCAGCCAATCCTGCCCCTGAGAGAGACTGCAGCACAGCACAATCGCACCCAGCATTTGGGAAATGCTGTCAGCCGTGAACAAGTTACTAAGAGCAGCAGTTACTGGCTCTGGGTCCTGCCAGAGCAAACTATGACTGTCATCGGGCTGTCCTTTGTGCAGGCCCAAGCATGCTCCAGAAGTGCCGATGTTAGCTGGGTTCATTAGTCAATCTCACCCACAAAAAAGCAAGAAAATAGAAGTATACATGTTAGGAAGATTCAAGAAGTCTCTCACTTTGCCAGAGAACAGATGACACCCCCATTGCTGCTGTCTCCAGCAGCGAGAGCTGCCCAGCCTCTGCGTGGAGTGCTGAGCTCCCTGTCCTCACGGCTGCAGCATCATTCCCTGGAAGACCCAACACACAGGAGGGTGTGCTACACCGGGACCCGAAAGTGAAGGAACACTTGAGCACTAAAGGAAGAGCACACATCCTCTGGGGCTGACATGGGGTGGGGTTGGCCACGTGCATTTTACATTTCCACTTTCTCTGCAGTCCTCAGTTTGGAGCATCACTCCTCTTCCCTCCCACCCCCAACATAAGCAGAGGAGCTGGAAAGCCAGAGTTATTTTTAGGAGATGGTACATTTAGGCCCTGTTAATCTTGACTGGGTCCCTTTGAAAATGACAAGGTTGGATAATCAAACACATTACGCAGACTTTCCATGGAGGCCACTTTGAAAACGAGCCTCCCACCATTCAGATATGTAGAAGCAAATAGTTTGAATAGTAATGTTTGATGCTGCACTGACTTGCCTCGTTGTGGTGACCTCACTAGCAT